CTTTTGTTTTTGGGCACATCTGGTGATGCTCAGGGATTACTCCTAGATCTGTTAGCAGGAATTATTCACGGTGGTACTCAGGGGACCATATAAAATGCTGGGGATCAAACCCAGATCGGCTGCATGCCAGGAAAATACCCTACCTGCTGTACTATTGCTCTGGCCTAAACTGGGAAAACCTTTATCACATATGCTTTATAAAGGCATCCACTGCATGGGGCCAGATAATATAGCTGGGAGGGTGCTTACCTCGAACATGGCCAACCCAAGTTCAATCCCCACCACCACATATAGTTCCCAAAGCCCTGACTAGAAGTAAGTTTTAAGCACAGCTGGGTGTGGCCCAAAACCAAACAAACAGAAAGCCATCCAGGACATTTCAAGAGTTCCTGTGCAATGAACTGATGAGACCCCTGACCTAAGGCCATGGAGGAGGGGGTCTGTGTAAGGGGCTGGTTCAGCCTCCCTGTTACTTCCCTCAGCAGCAGTCAGGGGTGCAGCAGGGATCACGATACAGAGTTGGGGCTCAGGAACTAGGAGTCCAGGCGCTGACACCACCTTTTACTTCCCTCTCTGTCCTCATGCAACATCAGGGGTCTCCCATCCTTGACATCAGTTCCCTACTTCTCCAATAGACCCTCCAGAGTGTCTGAGATGGCAGGAAAACAAGGCACCCTTGATTTTGCATTTGGGGCATAAATGCCAAGAAGTGTTACCACTAGGTCATAAGGTAGTTCTATTCTACACTACTGAGTTGGCGGGGATTGAGGGGAGAGAGGAGGTCTTGAAAGTCCACTGAGGCATCTCCTGATCTTGTGGGGGCACAAGGGTGCAGGCAACTGGCACCCCAGCCTGTCAACTGGATGGGTGTAGCTCTCAGTCTGCCCAGTTGGCAGTGGTGGCCCTGCATGCCTCCACGACTCTTGCTGAAGGGCTGTCTGGGAGAAGTCTGTGGAAACATAAATGTCGTTCGGGGCCTCACAGAAATGGCCACAAGGGAGCATTGGACAAAGCCATGGGGGGTGTTGATTGGTGGCACAAAGCCCTCGGAGACGGGCTGTTCTCCTGGGGAAATTTTCTGGAGGCTTTGAAGTGCCGCCAAGAGAAGGGAGGTGGCCCTGTCCTGGGGGTGCATTCACTTGTAATTTACTCCTCCACGTGGGTCTGGAGTGCCCGTTTCATACAAACATCCCTGCCTCACCCGGGATGCAGGAGACGCAAGGGACAGGCCCGTGAGGGGAGGCGGGTGCATTAAGAAGGTCCCAGGGAGTGTGCGGCTCAGAGACACGACTGCGTCCCCCAAGTTTCTCTCCCTGAAGCATAAATATTTCCCACTAAGATCACAGACTCCCTCATCATAAAATCAATGAAACCACAAGAGAAAATGAGCTCCTGCTTGACTGCCCCCGAGATATCTCACACAGGACTGTTTTGCCTTTGGCAAAAGAAACTGGGGCTGGGACTGGGGGTTTGAGATCCGGGCTCCGCAGTGGGGAGCGGGAGGCTGGAGGCATGCTGGCTGGGGATGAGTGTCCATTTGACTTGCTGCAATGCTGATATGTGACCTCTGTCTCTGCAGCCCCAGGACACGCATTCCTGGAGTCAGACATGCACCCCAGCTCCAGTTCCCAGTATGATTGGCTGGGGGGTGTCTTTGGGTTCAGGAGAATCTTTCCATCCTAGTTTCCTTGGCAAATCAAAGATGGATCTTAATGTCACATCTGCATGCAAATAGACAGGTGTCAAGAATAAGAACTAGGTGCCAGAGCGATAGGAAGGCTGGTATTGCATGTGGCCCACCCTATTTGATCCCCACATCCCATAGAATCACCTGTGCACCTCCAGGAGTGATTCCTGAGTGCAGAACCAGAAGTAACTCCTGAGTACCGACAGGAATGACCCCACAATAAACAAACAAAAAGAATAAGGCCTTGTCTTTCCATGCCAAAACTCTTGCTATATGACAGGTTCCATGACTAAAAGGGGACAAGAACTGATTCCTGCGGAGGGTCCTGTCAGGACTCCTGGTCCTCTAAGTGCAGACTGCAGAGACAGGGCAGGGCGGAAGTCACTTGCCTTGCATTGCAGCTGAGCCTTGTTCCCAGAACCACATATGGTCCCGTGCACCACCAAGAGTGATTCCTGAGCACAGATCCAGGAGTAAACCCTGAGCACCACAGGGTGGGCCCAAGAACACCAAAACCATACCCTCACCCTGGGAGAAAGGGGTGGGGGGTTCAAAGGGGCTGAGCCCACATGAGGCGCTTTGGCTTTCAGCAGTGTTAAAGGGGAAGTGGGTCTTATTCAGGGGGGCTACCTAATGCCACATAGGGCCTGACCCTCCCCAGCTCCCACAGCGATGGTCAGTTTCCACAAGATGCTGCCCAGGGCAGGGCAGAAACTTACATGTGAGAAGATGGAGGGAGAAATGCTTCCTTTTCCAATCTTTCCCAATGTGGGACTGAAAGAACTCCCTTTTGTTGACCCCTTCATAATCCGGGATAAGGGATGCTGAAAGGCTGAAGCGTTGGCCCTTTCTCTCCATCTGCAGCCAGGAAGCCAGTTTTAACATGCTCGCAGGAGAGAGTCCATCCCATTGAAGGGGAATGGATGTTAGGTATTAAAAAAAAGCATCTATCCAGTAGCCTCTGCCTGTCCAAGTACTCTGTAGCCACCTGTGTAGCTCAATATACATTTCTAAAAACACCCATTTGATCACTGTCACTGTCACTGTTCTTCCATTGTTCATCGATTTGCTCCAGTGGGCCCAGTAACATCTCTATTGTGAGACTTGTTACTGTGTTTGGCATATCGAATATGTCACAGGTAGCTTGCCAGGCTTTGCCGTGCAGGCAAGATACTCTTGGTAGCTTGCTAGGCTCTCCAAAAGGGGCAGAGGAATCGAAACTGGGTGGGCCGATTTGATAAAAAAAAAATGGTATGAGACCAGTACCCAAGGACGAGTCAGGAAGATTGGTCCGTGGTTGGAAGTCTGCCTCAAGTGCTGAGGGAGAAGGCAGTTGGGAGATTGAAGGAACCATAATGGCAATGATGGTTGGAAATGATCATTCTGGATAAGAACTGTGTGCTGAAAGTAGGTAAAGGAACAAACATGATAACCTTGCAATCTCTGTATGGCAAACCATAATGCCCAAAAGGGGAGAGAGAGGGAGGGGGAGGAAGGGAGGGAGAGAGAGATGGAGAGAGAGGGAGAGAGAGGGGAGAGGGGGGAGAGAGGGAGGGAGGGAGTGAGAGAGAGAAGGAGGGAAGGAGGGAGGGAGGAAGGAGAGAGAAAAGTAACGGCCTCTATGGGGGATGTGGCAGAAAAAAAACTAGGAACATGCACCCAGGTGGGAAATGTACACTGAGGGACAGGTATTGGAATATTATATGACTGAAACCCAATCCTGAACAGCTTTGTAACTGTATCTCATAGTGATTCGATTAAAAAAAAAAAAAGCATTCTTGGGTCCTAGGAGATTGTTCAAGTGGTGGAGCACATTCCTAGCATATGCAAAGGCCTGAGTTCAATCCTCAGCATTGCATGCCCCCCAGGTATTGCTGGTATGGCTCTGGTGGCCCTTGAGAGTCACCAGGGTCATACCAGTTGCTATAGTTGCTATAAAGAGAAATAAATACTCTCAATATAAGTGTTGCTCACATCTTCCCAAAGAGCTAAGGCAAAATTTTATCCTGTTTGGTGTGCTGGTGGTCCATATATGATCTTACTGGTCCCATGTGGTCCAGAGATTTAAGGAGAACCTTAATTCCTACTGATGCACTCCGTAAACAGGAATGGAGAGAGAGTGGGCTAAGTAGCTGTTGTTCAAACCCTTGCTGGGTGAAGGAAAGAAGAATCAGCCACTCCTCCTGGCCATGTTACATCCTCCTAGCACTCAGGGGCGTCCTGCTCTGTGTGGACAGGCAAGAAGGCCACATTTCTCCAGCACTGCCCCTTAAAGGCTCCCCATTGCCCTCTGTCCTTTGCCCTCTGTGAATGCTGTGGGTCCCCTTGGGGATGTCTCTCTGTGGATGGTCCTGCAGGTTCCATGTGCCCTGTGGCTGGCTTGGGGGGGTGGGGCGAGGTCTCTGTGGTGGCATTTCTTCAGTGCCTCTTCCTGAAATTTGACTTGGATGGTCACTGCAGACCACTTGGGGACCAGGTTTTGAGGTTTTCTATTTTGCCAAAAAAAGAAAAAGTCTGTAAAGTGGCTGACTCAGTTGTCTTTGCTTCTGGCCTACAGCATGGAGAGCAGGAAAGCAGAGCTAGAGTCACGGCACCACCGCCAGAATCCCCAGGAACCACTGCCTGAAACAGCCCCGAGCTCTGCCCAGTCCCTTGGCCCTCAGCTCATGTTACTGTCTTGGCCTTGACTGAGCATAATTTGAAACAACAGGTCTGGTGCGGTTGACTCACAAGACTCCCTCTTCCTCACTGTAACATCAGAAATCGCAGGCAGTAGTGACATGTGCTGACAGCATACTGTGAACAGACATTATTCCAAAGGGGTTGTGTGTTGGCTCCCTGATCCCCAGAGCAACCCTCAGAGACAAGAATTGTTACCAACTTGATCCAAAGCAATTGTGAAACAGATCTTAGAGCCATATATAGAGGGTAGGTGATTTGCCTTGCACATGGCTGACCCAGATCCAACCCCTGGCATGCCATTTGGTCCCCTGTGCACTGCCCAGAGTAATTCCTGAGTGCAGAACTTCTTAGTATCACCAAATGTGGTCTTATGACTACCCAAAAAATGATAATTAAAAATAATAATCAGGGGCTGGAGCGGTAGCACAGCAGGTAGGGTGTTTGCCTTGCATGCGGCCGACCTGGGTTGGATTCCCAGCATCCCATATGGTCCCCTGAGCACCGCCAAGAATGATTCCTGAGTGCAGAGCCAGGAATAACCCCTGTGCATTGCCGGGTGTGACCCAAAAAGCAAATAAAATAAAATAAAAATATAAAAATAATAATCATTTTTTTTTAAATTCTAAGTTCACGTCAGATGAGTAATGTGCCAAGTATGTAACAAGATTTAAGAGAGGCATGTGTCACACAAACCATCATGTCACCCAATCATCATGTTTATGAACCAGAAAAAGATCCTAAAAATTTTTTTGAAACAAAGAAATTGTGGAGCATAAATTTGCTCCTTAGTGGCAGAGAAGGGATTCAAATCCCTAGGCCCTCAAGTCCTAGGGGACTCTAACCTCTGCTCTGTGAGACTCAGGGCTGTGTCCTGCCCTCACCTCTGTTGTGTGCTCTCTGATCTCCCTCTGCTCTGTCCTGCTCTCACCTCTGCTCTGTCCTTTCACCTCTGCTCCAAGCTTCTCGGGGCTACACACTGCTGTATCTACCCAATGGGAGCACTGACTCCTTTGTTAAGGTGTAACTAGAGGTGCTTTTGCAGGATCTCTCCCAGCTCTCGTCTTATTTCTTGTGCTTCCACCTACCTTCTGCTGCCTTTGAGGGTAAAGAATAGTCTTTACCTCAACTCCCAGACAATTGAAACTATAGACTGTTAGCAAAAAGGGCAGCACTTTGCAAATGTGTATTTTCTTCCTGCTCTTGTCTTCAGAGCAGTCAAGTTTTTTTTTCTACCTATCTTTTATTTATTTATTTATTTATTTTTATTAGTGAAACTCCATGTGGTACAGTTGTTGACCCTAAAAATTTTTGTGCTTGGGTTTCAGTTATACAATGATTGAGTACCCATCCCTCTACCGGTGCCCATTCCCACCTCCAATGATCCCAGCATCCCTCCCACCTGCCCCCACTCCCCATCCCACCCCACCCCTGTAGCAGGGCATTCCCTTTTGTTCTCTCTCTCCTTTTGGGTGCTGTGGTTTACAAAAGAGGCATTGAGTGGCTATCATGTTCGGTCTATAGTCTATTTTCAGCATGCATCTCTCATCCTGGGAGGGTCCTCCCAACACCCTTTACTTGGTGCTCCCCTCTCTGTCTGAGCTGCCTTCTCCCTCAGCATGTGCGGCTGGCCTCCAAGCCATGGAGTGAACCTCCTGGTACTTATCTCGGCTATTCTTGGGTGTTAGTCTCCCAATTTGTTACTTTATATTCCCCAGATGAATGCAATCTTTCTGTCTGTCCCTCTCTTTCTGACTCATTTCGCTTAGCATGATACTTTCCATGTAGTACCACTTGTCTGTAAATTTCATGACTTCATCTTTTCTAACAGCTACATAGTACTCCATTGTGTAGATGTACCAAAGTTTCTTTAACCCAAGTCATCTGTTCTTGGGAACTCGGTTTTTTCCCCAGATTTTGGCTATTGTGAATAGTGCAGCAATGAACATACAAGTGCAAATGTCATTTCAACTGTACTTTTTTGCCTCACCGGGATATATTCCCAGTAGTATTATTGCTGGGTCAAATGGGAGCTCAATTTCTAGTTTTTTGAGAATCGTCCATACTGTTTTCCAAAAGGGCTGAACCAGTCGGCATTCCCACCAGCAGTGAAGGAGAGTCCCTTTGTTAGAGCAGTCAAGTTTCATCTAATCCCTCTTTCTTGGAATATGTTACGAAGGAAGTATAAACACACTCTGAATTAAAAAAAAAAACTTGTACCACAACTTAAAATAATACATTTTCTCCTCCCCTTCCCTTTTCTGCCGTTGCTCTGATGACGTGGGTCACACACACACACAGACACACACACACACACACACACACACATACACACATGATGCTTGCTGGGGGCTGCACACTGTGGTAATAGTGTGTGTGTGTGTGTGTGTGTGTGTGTGTGTGTGTGTGAAGAGGAGTTCCATCATTTATTCAGGAGGTTCTTGCACATCCTGGAGGTAGTCCTCACCAGGAGACACTTGGTTACAGTGCTCACACATCTAAAGTGCTCACAGGAAGCTGCAGGCTCTTTTTTGTGGTGCTCACACACTATGGCAGTGCCAGGGGAGGTCTTAGAGAGAAGAACTGTCAGGACGACAGTCTCTGTGGGTGGAAGCAGGGTTCAGACTTGTAGTTTTAAGTTCACAAAGCAGGTGCTTTTGCCACTGAGCCATCCTGTACCCACTACAGTATCTTTTAACATCAAAGCCACATGTTTGCCTTGTTCTAGGATCTATTTTATTTTATTTGCTTTTGCTTTGTTTTGCTTTGGACCACACCCAATAGTGCTCAGGACTTTCTCCTGGCTCTGTGTTCATTACTCCTGGCAATGGAGTGCCAGGGGTTGAACCCAAGTTGGTCACACACAAGGCAAGTGCTCTGCCCACTGTGCTATCTCCCCAGCCTGTGGAACTCATGGTTTAACAAGCAATAGTTTAACCAGATGTTTCCCACAACACGTGAAGAGTTTCTAAATTCTCCTATCAGTTCTTCCCTTTAACCCAACCCAATATCTCTGCTTAGCCTTGCAATATTCCACTTCTTATATTAGCTTCCTTGTCAGTTAGGAGTCTTTGGTCACCACTTACACTAAACAAAGCAGAAAAGAAATCTACTGGAAGGCTACTGGGGTGACAGGCAACTGGTGGGAGACCGGAGCTCTTTGTTGGGAAAACCAGGTCTATGCTGATCGGAGTGGATTGGGTTGCAGCCAACCTCTGCTTCCTGTTCCAAGTTCCAATCTTCAGAGAGAATATCAGATTGGCCATATCTGGGTTTCACACCTTCTCCCTAGCCGGGTTAGGTGGAACCTACCAGAGTACACTAGTTGAAGGAGAGGTAATTCCAGTCAAGTAGAATGTTGCTGGGATAGGCGGATGCTGTCCAGTGAAGAGCTAAGGATCTCCCCTTACATCTAGTTAGACTGTTTGTATGGCCAATCTAAAGGAACTGTAGTTCTTATGCCAGCTTTGTCTTAATTGATGTTAGTTTTATTTTATTTTGTTTGTCCTCTTCTGCTTGTCAGAAGTACCACCGAAAGTTGGCTACTCACTGGTGTGTCCATTCTATTGTGTCTTCCTCTTAACAGAAACATTTTGTTTTTTTTCTAAGATTTATTTGTGTCAAAGAAGCCAATATGCAGTCAGCACCTGACTCTGTTGTGAGAAGCTAGCAATTCACTTTGTTACTTGTTCCTTCCTTTCACAGAACACCTAAGGAACCTTTATTGAACAGTTTCATAGTTCTGGATCCTAAGGAGGAGCGAAGAAGAATCAAACCAGAGGGTCTTGATTTCTATCCCAGTAGACAGAAACTTAACAACCATGTGATGATGGAGTAGGTGGCCTCAGTCAGACGCACTCAGACGCAGAAGAGTGCCCCGCGAAGTTGAGATCCTGGCCATGTCACCTTCCGCGAGTTTTTCAAACTAAAACTCAGTTTTCCCATCTTGAAAGGGAATAATGATAGTTCCCAATTAAGGGACTGTTATTCTTCTAAAATTCATCAATAGGTTCAATGTGATCTCAGAATCCTGTTCTGAGAGATGGTATGGGGGGTCAGGCACTTATCTACATACCTGGTTTGATCCCCAGCATCATATAAGGTCTCCTGAGCCTGCCAGAAGGGTCCCTGAGAACCAGAAGTAAGCCCTGAACACTACAGGGTGTGCCTCTCCCCACCAAGAAAAAAGAGAGAGAGAGAAAATAAATGATATATGAAAATGCAAAAAGGTCAAGATAATGTTGAAATTGGACAGAGCTGAAAGGATCACAATTTCATGTAACATGCCTTTTATTGTAAAGCTAGAATAATTAAGACAGCGTCATAGTTTGACCCCAGGATAGACAAACAGACTAGAGAACAGAGAGTCTAGAAATTGGCTGGCCACTTGTTTTTAACATAAATAAAATTGCAGAGATATAAAAAAGATTCATTTTTCATAACAATATTTGTATTTTGGTGTCTTGCTTATTACATTTAGTATGCTTCAAGGTTCATTTGTACCATAGTGTATGTCAAATTTTCATTCTTTTTTGAAAGCTGAATACTATTCGATTGCATGTACAGACCACCTTTCATTTGTTTTTTTTATCTGTAGATGAACATTTGGGTTATTGCCACCTTTTGGCTACCCTCACGCAGGCTCTGTTAATTGGCTGTGACCGAGTCTCCATGATGGCTATGAGTCTTGAAGAGACGGAGAGATCTGGTACCCCTCCTCACACGAGACGGTCTAGTGGGAAGGTGAAGTCTCTGAACCAGAAATCAGATGCTCAGCTGGCACCCAATCTGTGCTTAGATTGGGACTTCCCAGATGCCAGACTATGGCAACTCATTCCTGTCTCTTACAAGTTGCCCAGTCTTGGTCTGTTACAAAAGTCTGAGCCAACTAAGACAGTGAGCGTATTGTTGCTTCAATAATATTGTTGCTTTGTGCTTTGGAGGGAGGGCTCTGGGTGGTGTTCAGGGACCACCAGTGCCACACCTTGCAGTGCTGTAGGGGACGGGGGCGGGGGCGGGGGGAATGAGGTGGAGCCTGCACTGTATCGATGGGCTTCAGGGCTTCACACCTTAGGCATCAGAATAAAATTTAGAGCCTGTGACTCAGCAGTATAGTACATACCTCACATAAACCTAGGGTGACCCCCCCAACTGTTACTGTCACTGTCCTCCTGTTGTTCATCAATTTGCTCGAGCGGGCCCAGTAACATCTCCATTGTGAGACTTGTTACTGTGTTTGGCATATCGAATACGTTACGAGTAGCTTGCCAGGCTTTGATGTGTGGGCGAGATACTCTCGGTAGCTTGCCAGGCTCTCCGAGAGGGAACCTCCAACATCAAAAATAAATAAATATAACTCAACTTTCACTGTGATAAAAGGATCCTCTGACACCAACCTCTTTCCACTCCTCACCTCCTCAGTGACTTTGCTTCAGGCTTCATTCTCTATTCATACTTTTGGATGCTCTTGGTTGTTCTGGAGACTCTGTATCAGCTGTTCTCTTTCCACAAGGACAGCCTTCTTTCCTTTCCCTGGAAGATCCTTTCAGACCCAAGGTCTGAATGAGCAGACCCCATTACCTTGGGGACACCTTCCTTGATCCTTCTTGTCCAACACAAACTCCCGTCCCATTGGGCCAGTCTCCTGATTTCCACATCACTCACCTCCACACCCAGCCTCACGCCATTCCATCATTGAGCTCTTCCTCACTAGGTCATTATCTCCGGACAGCAGAGGCT